GTCTTGTGTAATGACCCAGTCATTTTCTTCCTTTTCCTTTTTCCTCAAATTTTGCGGATAAATTTTTTTCGTTGTCTTTTCTTTTCTGTGGATGGTTTTTCGTCACTTAGTGTCGTCTTCAGTGCTCGAAAATGATTTTGAGACTCTTTTCCGTGAATTGACAACTTCCTTTGAAGACTGAGTCATTTTCACAATTTTCGTTTTTTGACACTATTCACGTTTTTGTCCTTATTCCTATTTCGTCCTTTTCCCTATTTCATCTTTTCCCCGCTTGTCACATTTGTTTTGTCTTGAGCTGTCCATTTCTTTAAGGTGGGAAGAATATTTCCTTTTCGTGTTCGTCGTGTTGACACTTGGGGGGGGGGGGGGGGAATAGGGTTCTCACCTTTTCTTGGTCTGTGTTTGGGACTTCACAAGGAGTGAGTCTCTTCTCTTCGTTGCCTTATGCACTGTTTGGGGTTGGTTGGTCCATGAGGATCATTTTTGTCATTTTGAGTCCTTGGTGAGGATTTGGTGGATTTTGGTCGACTTACTTCCATGGAGGGGGTGAAGTCTTTGACCTTATTGTCTTTCTTTCAGAGATGGGGTTATGGTGCTCAAAGTGAGTTGATTTGTGTGAGATCATTTTCGGGGACTTGTGTCCATTTGATTGAGGATTTGGTTGATTCATAAGGTGAGCTCGATGCTCTTTTGAGAATGTCTTTTGGAGACTTGCTTTAGTTTTTGGAGACCTGGATGTGGTTGACTCTTAGGAGAGGTGTTAAAAGATCGCTGTTGGATTTGGCTTGTTTATGGAGTTTTCTCGTCCTAGTTATGGCTAGGCGTAGTTTTGAGGAATTGTAGTTCCAGTGATTGATTTTATTTTGTTGGGGCTGGATTTCGAGGATGAAATCCCTTTAAGGTGGGAAGGTTGTAATGACCCGGTCATTTTCCTCCTTTTCCTTTTTCCTCAAATTTTGTGGATAAATTTTTTTCATTGTCTTTTCTTTTATGTGGATGGTTTTCATCACTTAGTGTCATCTTGAGTGCTGGAAAATGGTTTCTGAGACTCTTTTCCGTGAATTGACAACTTCCTTTGAGGACCAAGTCGTTTCCACAATTTTTGTTTTTCGACACTATTCACTTTTTTGTCCGTATTCCTATTTCGTCTTTTCCCCGTTTGTCACTTTGTTGGCAAAACCTCACTTTTTGTGCTCGGAGTTGGTTTTTAACTCCACGTATCTTTATCATGAGTGGTTTCCACGAAATACGTATCTTTACTTTTGTAGGAAAGTACTTTGGTTGCTCCGGGTGTCCATAGGGGCATGGATGCATAATTCTTTGAAATTAATTTCTTTTCTTGGGGTGTTTTTTGTAAATATCTTTTGAAGATATTTTATTTTAGGTGGTATCAGAGCTCCTAGGTTTGAATACCTTGGGATGACGGGTTTTGGGTGCATATCACATTTTTGTTGCTTTGTTTTACGTGTTAATATGCTTCATGATAACATGTTTTGGCTTGATAACATGTTTATGTGCTTACGTGCTATATGTGTTATGCTATCTGTTTAGCTTATTTTGATTCTAATGTAAAGAGCATGACATATGATGTATGCTAGATTAGATTTGTATATGCATGATTGTGTTGCATATTTGGCATGACACGGGATTGGTTATTGAGGCACGAGTTGAGGTTGATGGTGATTGTAGTCATAGTTTCATTGTAGTTTAGGTTGTTGTTAACCTAGAGTTAACTTTGGATAGGTGGAGAGACACCTTTTGTTTAGGCTCTCATGGGGTGAGCCATTCGACACAACCATAGTACTGGATTTGTTGATTTTGGGCCATGATTAGGTTTTGGACCTTTTGGGCACCTTGGTTGTTTTGGAAGGTTTCTCTGAGTTACAATTTTCGTAGGTGGGTGCATGGCACTGTCATGCTACCGTGCTGGGTAGATACGAGCGCAGTTCTGCTGGAATTAGCTTTGGCTTTTGTTTTGATAGGCGTTGTTTTTTTAATCGATGATGATGATGTTGTGTTGGGGATCAGTCATTTTGTTTTGATAGGCATTGTCCTTTTGATCGATGATGATGATGTTATGTTAGGGATCAATCGTAGTGATTAATTTGGTTGTTATTGGTATGTCACTAGTTGCCGTTTTCTTTGAGTTCTCCTTGCGTGATGACGGTTTTGGGATCAAGTCAATTGATTGACGTTTGGGGTTGGTGAGAGCATTGCACCGTTAGTGGCATTTGTAATGTCACCTTTAGATTTGGAGATGGATTGTTAGAGTTTGACCAGTGTGGTAAGGGCTCACATTGTTTTGAGAAAGGTTGTTGCCACATTGATTTGAACCCAGAAGTCTATTTTTTTGAAACTTTGAGGCTTCATATCTTCTTTGCCCGGACTCCAAATCAAGTGATTTTTGAGTCTAGATTTATTAACTTTTCCTTGTTTATCTAATGGTATGCTCAGTTGCATTTATTTTTATCTTAAAAGTTCATTTTATCCCTTCTAAAGTACCCTTGCCACATTGATTTTAACTCAAAAGTTTGATTTTATGAAACTTTGGAGTTTCATATCTTTTTCATCCGGACCCCGAATTAAGTGATTCTTGGGTCTAACTTGGTTAATTTTTCGCTGTCTTCCCAGTGGTGTGCTCGGTAGCACACGATTCTATATTTTTAGAAATGACTATTTTGCCCTTGTGGGCTTAATCGTTATTTTTCCGATCTCTTGCTTCTACACTTTATTTTATTGAGTTCCATGACCTCATGGAAGGTCATCAAAGTGTTTTAGAGGTGTGTTGAGCCTTGGGAGATTGTTGTTTTGTTTCTTGCTTCCGCATTTCGGATCCGTTACCAGATCATCCTTTCAGTTCATCCCTGACTCACTCGCCTAAAAACCAGCGTCGTCATATCTCGAGTACTATATCGGGTCCTAAGGCAGCTGTCTCACCCACCTCAGTCCAACAAATTGGAGACCTACAAGGTCTGCCATATAACGCTTCAAATGGAGCCATTTCAATGCTCGCCTGATAACTATTGTTGTAGGTAAACTCGACAAGCGGTACCTCCCAAATCAAGTACACATACTCGAAGCATATCCTCCAAGATCTGGATAGTATGCTCTGACTAGCAGTCTGTTTACGGATGGAATGTTGTACTAAGATGCAACGCTGAGCCAAACGTTGCTTGAAGTCCTTCCTAGAACTTCGAAGTGAACTTGGCATCCCTATATGAAACAACGGTTACTGGAACTCCATACAACCTTACAATCTCCTTCACATATAGCATACCAAGTGCCTCTGCATCATCTATTGCCTTAATAGGTAAGAAGTGAGCCGTCTTGGTCAGTCTATCAATGATGACCCATACGACTTCATTGCCCATCTGGGACTTAGGAAGACCTCTCACAAAATCAATAGCAATTTGCTCTCATTTCCACTGCGCTACAGGCAATGGTTGCAACAAACCGGTTGGTCTCTGATGCTCGGCCTTCACCTATTGATAGGTAAGGCATCTAGCTACAAACTGTGCAACATCCTTCTTCATTTTGTTCATCAATACTGGCATCTCAAATTGTGATACATTTTTGTACCACTTGGATGAACTGCAAAGCGAGAAGTGTGAAATTCCTGTAAGACGTCCTCACGATAAACTATAGGAACAACTAACAAATCTTTGTACCGTAGACCTCTATCTATATGCAAAGTCCAATCCTTCACTGTCTTACCACTGGAAATCAAAGTGCAAATAGCATCCAAATTCGGATCCTGTCTCTGTGACTCAATTACTCGTCCGACCAAAGTAGAATGAGCCATAAGACTATATAAGAATACCAACTCACTGCCATCCTCATCATAGCACTGCAACCCCATTTCTACCAAATCTTCAAGCATCGTCCATTTTTGAATGGCCAAATTGGCCAAAGTCCTACGAGATTTTTCACTTAAGGCACTTGCTACCACGTTTGTTTTGCCCGGATGATACCGTAAATCAAAATTGTAATCTTCCAAAAATTCAACCCATTGCCTATGTCTGTTGTTCAAGTCCTTTTGGGAGAAAAGGTACTTGAGACTCTTGTGATCTGAGAACACCTCGAATCTTTCACCATACAAGTAATGTCTCCAACACTTCAAAGCAAACACGACTGTCGCTAACTTTATATCATGAGTAGGGTAGTTGTACTCATGAGTCTTCAACTGTCGAGACCCATAACCCACTACTCTACCATACTGCATTAGCACACACTCCAAACTATCATGTGAAACGTCATAATAAATCATATAACCCAAGCTACGCTCGGGTATCACCAACACTGGAGCAGTAGTCAACTTTGTCTTTAACTCTTGAAAGGAAGACTCACAGGCTTCATTGCATGTAAATTTGATCCCTTTCCAGGTCAAGCGAGTCATAGGTGTTGCCAAACGGGAAAAATCCTTCACAAATCTACGATAATAATCCGCTGAACCAAGAAAACTGCGGATCTCAAACACACTATTAGGTTGTTCCCAATTCAGAACTACTTTAATCTTTGATGAATCCACTGACACTCCACCTTCTGAAATAACATGCCCCAAAAACTTCACCTCTTGTAGCCAAAACTCAAACTTTTCATATTTGGCATACAATCGGCGCTCCTGCAAAATCTGTAATACAATGCTCAAATGGATCTCGTGTTCCTCCTGAGTCCGTGAGTATACAAGAATGTCATCCATGAAAACTACTACAAACTAGTCCAAGTAGTCATTAAAGGCGCGGTTCATTAAGTCCATGAATGTCGCTATACTGTGTACGGAACGTTGTCTTCAGGATATCCTCATCCCTAACCTGCAACTGATAATAGCCAGACCTCAAGTCAATCTTTGAGAAGCTACTGGCCCCTCTCAACTGGTCAAATAAATCATCTATCTTTGGCAAATGATACTTGTTATTGATTGTGCCATGATTCAACTTTCGATAATCAATGCAGAACCTCAACGAACCATCTTTCTTCTTAGCAAACAAGACCATTGCGCCCTACAGTGACACACTCGATTGGATGAAATCTTTCATCCTTAAATCATTAAGTTGCTTCTTCAATTCTTCTAACTCCACCAGTGCTATACGATACGGTGCCGTAGAAATCGGCGCTGTACCGGGCATCAAATTAATAGTGAACTCCACTTCTCGATGTGGAGGCAACTTGGTTAAATCCTCCGGAAACACATTCAGAAAATTATGGACAACTGTAGGGTAATCCTCTTCCACACCATCATCTTCTTTGGCAAAAAGGATAGCCAAGAAGTAATCACCATGACCTCTTCCACGAATTCCATATAATGATGAAGGTTGGGAATCACTTCAATCTCCCATGAAAAAGAAACAGTCTCCCTCAGGAGTGGAAACTATAACTCTACCTCTGAAACAGTCGATCGTAGCACAAAATGAGGCTAACCAATTCATCCCTAGAATGACATCAAAACTAGTCATCTCTAAGAGGATAAAGTCAAACACAAAAGTCCGTCCGGCTATCACAATGGAACAATCTTTCACAACTCTGCTCAAGGACACTGGAACCCAAATTAGCGTATCAACACATAACACCCGATCCATGAAACTGACCTCTAACTCCGATGTAAGTGCAAATGATGATGCAATGAAATGAGATGCACTAGAGTCAAAGAGAACATGAGCCCAAGAACCAAACACTGGGAAGATACCTCGGAGAACTGGTGGTCCAGAAGATGCATCAGTTGGTGTAAGTGCAAAGACACGTCCCTGTGGTGCCTGTGCCTGAGAACTGCCAACTTGAACACCTGACTGCTACATTTACATAGTAGGAGTATCCTTCCTAGCTAGTCGTGATCCCTATGAAGACATGGCAGGCTACGGTGGTGGCGACGGTCTGAAGCCTGACTGAGCTGTAACCGACTATGACGGCCTCTGTTGTGACCCTCTCCCACTACCGGTGCCTGCTCCCCGATTCGGACAGTCTCGAATCAAATGGCCCAGCTAGCCACACCTATAACAAGCTCTTAGAACTGAAGAAACTGAAGACGATCTCATAGGATAATTAGACTTATAATGCCCAGTTGGTATGGGAGTGGTAGGAGCGGATAATGCAAATTGCTGCCCCTGAAACTGGGATGAACTACCCTTGTTCCTCTTCCATGAAGGTCCTTCTGAAGATGATCCTGTATTCCTCTTCTATTTTCATTATTCCTTTCCTGTATTTTTGTCCTTAGCTTACGCCTCAAGCATCAAAGCCCTTACTACTGCTTCTGAGTAGACCTTAAAAATACTGGGCCATCATAAACGGCCTCATTTGGTAAGGAAGGCTAGAGATAAACTTCCTCGTCTTGTCAACTTCATTGCTCACTAACTCAGGAGCAAAGCGAGAAAGAGACGTGAATTCGTTTTCGTACTCCATTACCGACATATTGCCTTAGATACGGTCATTAAACTGCTCCCTTAGATCCCACCACTAGGTAATTGAAAAGTACTTCTCATATAACAACTCTTTAAATTTCTCCCAACTTATCTCCTCCACTTTGTATTGGTTGGTGACTGACTTCCAGCAAAGCTTGGCATCCTTATAAAACTTGTAAGTAGCTAGGATGATTTTCACATAATCATCCGTCACATCCATAGAGGTTAAATGAGTTTCTACTTGATCCATGTAGTTGTCCGCTACTATGGGATCTGCACCACTTTCGAACATCATTGGCATTAACCTAGAAAACCTAGAAATCAACTTGAGACGTTTCTGCACTGGCGTCTCCTCTACCTGAACTACTGGTTGTGGTACCGGTTGTGAAAAAGTAGCAATTGTTGCTTTCAAGGCACTCTGCAACAAACGGTTCAATGCTAGTTTTGCCGAACCTTCACTTTCTTCAGCGGGTGCTTCAACATCATCCCTTCTGGTGGAAACATCTCTTGGGGTAATCAAATTCCTAAGAAATGTATCTTCTTCATTTTGCTCTGCCGGATTGAAGCTAAAGCTCTTACCAACATCTCCTTTTGTCAGCTTAGGGCCATCACCCCTTGGTTCCCTTCGTGATGACATCGTGCTATAAAACGAGAAAATGGTTCAATGACATGACACTAAGGTCCACCGTGGATGAATCAAAATGAAATAATGCTGTACTAACGCTTATCATGCAAAACTATGCAATAAACACCTTAACAAAAACATCTAAGCACATAAATAAATAAGCAGTTAAGCATGCTTATTCAAATAATAAAACAAATAACAAATAATCACATAATCAACACAAACAACTTCCCATGCAACCCTATGTAGGCCTCTACCCGTCCTTCTAATGGTTTTTGAACCATTGCTCTGATACCAAATTTGTAATGACCCAAACCCGTGGGTCCGTATCGTTAACGGGGTCCTTACTCGGACCCGAGGTTAGCTAGGTCATAACCTCCACTTCCTATGTCCAAAACTGCCATAAGGGTCAATTTGGGGTCCCAAAACGTCCCAAGACACATCCTTACAATAATACTCAAACAATATAGGTTAAAGGGGATGGTCAGCCGGATGATAACCCTTAGTTGGCCGGCTGGTGAGGTGGGATCGGCCGGCTGGCTGAAACAGCTCTGAAACTTGCATGCTCTCGGGACTGCTGCAGTGGATGCATCGGTCAGCTGGTGAGGAGGATTGGTAGGCCGAAACAAGCTTCACACCCTTGAAACTCTCTAGAATGCAACCGAAATACACTGTCAACTGGTTGATGATCTTTGTCAGCCGGCCGACAGGCCCTGGGATGCTGCTATGTGCAGCCTCAAACATCAAAAATGCTATAAAACCCATATACCAACTTATGAAAACACCTGATACTCAAAATAAAGCCGAATTCACAGCAAAATATACAACATCACACAGATATAAACAATTACTAATTTCTTAAAATATAGCATCATCCTCCCATACAACATAAGCATTTACATAGCCTCAAATTTGCATCAAAATACAGTCAAACATCCTAGTTACAATACATGGCCATGGTTTGCAAAATGATCACAATTTGCCAAGGTTTGAGATTTTACAAAAGAATGGATCCAAACACATAAAAGATGACAAAAACAAATTTCTAGTCCTCTTTAAGCTTGTGATGGTTCAGTGTCCACAACTTCCTTCCCGAGTCCTGAAAAAATCTTAAATGATATGGTGAGCATAAAGCTCAATAAGTGGTGCCTAAGACATACCTCTTGTGACCCCATGAATCCAAACAATGAATAGGATAATGGGGAACGAGATCATTCTAGGCCAGGGAAATACAACATCAATTCCAAGTTCGAAACAAGCAAATGTTGTTCCATGAGTGCAATGCCATGTATGTCACTCCCCATTTTCAAAAAAATCATCAATCATTTCATAAAATGTTAATATAACCTGCCCTTTGGTGACTCTGCAGCGATACGAAAGAAGGATTGGCTTGTAATGACCCGGTCATTTGCCTTCCTTTCCTTTTTCCTGAGATTTTACGAATGAATTTTTTTCGTTTAATTTTCTTCTCTGAGCTTTGTTTCGTGTCGCTTAGTGTCATCTCGAGTGCTTAGAATTGGTTTCTGAGACTCTTTCATGTGAATTGACAACTTTCTTTGAGGATCGAGTCATTTTCGCATTTTTCATTTTTGGGACACTATACGCTATTTCGTCTTTTCCCTATTCTGTCATTTTCCCTATTTTATCTTATCTCCGTTTGTCAGTTTTTGGCACAACCTCACTTCTCATGCTCAGAGTTGGTTTTTTACTTCACGTGCCTTCATCTTGAGTGTTCCTTGAAATACGTATCTTTACTTTTGCAAGAAAGTACTCTAGTTGCTCCCGGTGTCCACAGGGGCATAGATGCACAATTCTTCAGAATCTTTTTCATTTCTTGGGGTGTTTTTCGTAAATATCTTTTGAAGATATTTTATTTCAGGGGCATCTAAGAAAATATCTTTTGGAGGATATTTTTATTCTGGGCCAATTTCGCAGTTAACCCTTTTGTAGGGGCCATTGTGCAATTAACGAAAGTTTTTGCAAAAATGTCTCGTCTAGAGCCTGGATCCTCATACAAGATTCATTTTCACATTTCGTTGAGTCGTGGACTCTTAGAATTCCATTCTGGTCGTTTTTCTTTAGTTTCAGAGTTTCTGGACCCGGTTGCCGTCGAACTTGTTCAGGGCATAACTTTCTGCTCGGGACTCAGTTTTTGACGCCGTTTCTTCTATTATTCATATTTTCTCATTTTGAATCTTTTTGTTCATAGATTTTTTCCATTTGAGTGCGTTTGCTCAAAATCTACTTTTCCGGACCTGGTGGGGCCCTTTCGGGGCAGTTTTTGAGACTTACTATAAATAGGATGCCTTAAAATGAAAAATCAGATTTTGGTAATCTTCCCCACCTCTCTTGGCCGGATCTCCTAGCAGCCATGGCTGCCACTTTCTCTCTCCTCCTTTGGTCCACTTTTCCTTGGTAGAAATCCTTCGGCCTTAGCATTTGTTGCTTCCCTCGACGTGCTCTACCTTTTGCCCTTATTAGAATCCATTTCCAATGATTTTTTGAGTTCGGGTTTGGAGTCAAGTTGAGATTTTCATGGGACTTCTTGCGGATTCTTGTTCACGGTGTTGTCTCCGACAAAACCTCTCGGTATCGTCGAATTCGAAGCACTTTTATTTTGGTGGGCCTTTGGGATTTTCATCTCAAATTGAGGTAGGGGGTGTTTTAGGTTATATTCTTGCTATCTTGTATGCTATTGATGTTTATACAACTCATATGCTCACTTTTGGTTCAAGATCTAGAAATTGATTTAAATGTGATCTAAATTCTACTTAATTGTACCGTGCTTGTTTTCCAATTTTGACTTGATATATGGCATGACCATGACTTAATCCTTGATATATATTAATTTGAGATCATTTGAATAACCTTTGAAATCTAGAGATTTAGTAAATGTTAAATTAATTAAATTATACATGATGATAGCTTGCTCACTTTGTGAAATTGATATGATATTTGCAATCATCATGAAATGGACATTCACATATATTATTTTGAGAAATTTTGGACAACTTTGATTTCTAGAGAAATTAATTAATTGGCTTAATTAATTTCTACTTAGTATTCTAAAGAATTAGACTTGTATTGTGTTCTTAAATCAAGTTATGACATGTTGTATAACATATATTAAATTGGGATTTATTACATGAGAATTGCAACTTTTGTTTTATATTTAAATTTAGTGAAAGTTTAATTCGCATGGTCGTGAATTGAATGAAATAAACTTGTAATGTGATATTACATTAGTCCTTGGCATGTTCTCTAAGATATGTTAAATTGAGAGCATTTGGTTAAGTTTGAAAACTTAGAGATTTTAATTAAAAGAATTAATTAAAATTTATTTCGTGGTCCCATTAGCTTAATTAAGGTTTTAACTTGATATTTGTATTGGCCATGACTTGTTTACTAGTATATATTAATTTGGGGACTATCTGAAGTTGTTTTAGAACCTTGGGATTTAAATTAGCACGATTTAATTAAAGTTCTACTTTGTTGTTCTAACAACTTAATTGAGTTTTAGAATGGATATAGGTGATGACCTTGCCATGTCTTTTAACATGTATCAAATTGAGGTTAATTGGAATTGAATCAGAATCTAGAGAATTTAATTGTGTTTATCTATTTAAATTCTATCAATTTGCTTCATGATCTAGTTGTGTTTTAGAAGTGGTTTCTATATTCAAATCATGGACTTAGACTTGTTATATATTCATTTGGTTATGTTTTGAACATTGGATAACATAGTTGCTATGTTTGTACTCATGAGAATATGTTTTCCTTATTGAATATATTGTTGCCTTGTGAAATGATTTGCACACTTCGTATTTAACATCTTTCATGCATAGCGTGTAACGAATCGCTCACTGAAGATTCGACATTCATCATATTATATTAGATGTGGATTTAGAGCATGTATTGTATAGGTTTCCAAATTTGGTTGTGCTTAGTAGATTGTTGATTATCTTGCATATTACTGTTGATATATGCGTTGTTGCACAACTTGTTGATTTTGGAAACTTGGGGATGTCGTTGTTTGACTATGGCTAGGACGTGGTTCTAATACGGGGGATAGTCCCTCTATATAGTCTAGTGCGCACATAGGGAGGTTACCCATGGGTTAGTAACCCTAAAGTAACTATGTTGTCGGTCTGATCCAGCGTGACGTCTAAGTATCCACTTTGTTTGATTTCGCATTTCATTTTCAAGTTGATAACTAAGTGATGTTGTAACTTGTTGTTTGTTAATTGTCATTCTATTTTAAGTTACAGGATGTTAACTTTGAGAAAATTGTGCTTTATGCGTTGTATTGGAAGTTCCAATGTTGGTTAAATTGCATCGATGTTGAAAATTATGTTTTGATGTTCTAACAAAGCTTA